AATTTCTTCCACCGGCGTGATAATTTGCTAGTGCGTATAGCATCCCTTATCAAACTGATAACTACAACTATTCCCAAAGAATAAAACACTAGTAAGGTCAAAAGGAAAAGAGAGAAAAACGCTTAAAATAATATTTTAGAAACCAGATGTGGACAGTAAATATCACAAGTAAGAAAGTTTTTTTCTTCTTTCTCGATTAAAATTATACATTCAAGCAGCATGTAAATCTCACATCTTCACACGCCTCTCCATGTGTGGTAAATTTTCATGTTTAACACTAATAACTCAAATTGCGTGACATGAAACAAGTGTGACTGTTAACTTTCATACATGAGGCAACCTATTATGATATTATGAAAGAAGTTGAGATTTCACCATAAATCCAATTGATATAATAGAAAGTGATTCGACCACTTATAAACTCTTGCAAGATTTTTCTTTTCACAAATAGAAACGCTTTTACGATCACATCTTCACACTTCCTACCACAACATTTTGTATGATAGGTCATGCTATGTGGGATGTGCAAACTCCAACTAGCTAGCTGCAGTACTTGTATGAAGCGGATTTACGGCTATTGTAACTTCAACTAATAATATCATATCAAGTGTAAGTTTTAATTCATGTAATTCAACTTCAAATTGCTGATCTTGTCTCATATACTCAGGCCAGCCCAAATTTCTTGGACCTAAAGTCCTTTTAGTTTGGCCCAGATATTTAATGAAAGCCTTAATAAGAAGAGAAATGATGAAACCACGTGGATTGAATATGATGCCAAACCGATTGACGATGAAAGCACGAAAAGTACAAAAACAAAAGGCATGGACAATAAAACGCAGAGATACTTTGGACACAGATCCTCTCCGGATCTGAGCCTATAAATCAATAGATCCAGACCATTGAAATTTGATTCAATGGCTACAAATAGGAGGCTTCATTAAAAGTTATAATAATTGTAGTCGTTATATCAAATTTCAATGATTCGAATCTATTGATTCCTAGGCTAAGATCTGGAAAGGATCTGTGTCCAGATACTTTATCAAACACACAAGTTATACGTAAAGTGGTTTTATCAAGAAATAACGTAAAGTGAGAAAAATAAAACAAAACGAAAACAAGTAGCCATAAAGTGAGATTCTGAATCATGTAAATGTTTGAGCTTAAAAAATAGTAAACCAAATTCCCCAATGACAGACCCCATCAAAAAAGAAAAAGAATATGTTTGTAGAAGAATCTTTTATAATATATTTTAAAGGTTTTTGAATATTAGTCCTTACAAAAGATTAAAATTTAAAAAAAAATTGGTGCTAGATTACATATTCAATTTAATCCCTTAAAGTGTACTTTTATCAAAATTTATATTCAATTTTTGTTATTTAATGTGTGTTTTTATTTAATCTCTCCACATTAAATTTTAATTTTATTAATATGCACATATTTAGTTCTTTAATTATAAATGAACATAAATGAGAAAATATTAAAAGAAATTTGTGATACAAAATATATAAATACATGATTGTATTGTGCCGAAATATATATAATTTACTTTTTTGTACCTACATGATTTTACCGAAATATATTATAATGAACCTAAATATATGTACTGAAATGTATTATATTGAATTAATGTACTTAAATATCAATACCGAAATGTATGTACCAAAATGTACGTACCAAAATGTATGTACCGAAATGTACGTATCGAAATATACGTACCGAAATGTATTATATTGAATTAATGTAACTAAATGTCAATTCCGAAATGTATGTACCGAAATGTATTGTATTGAATTAATGTACCTAAATGTCAATACTGAAATGTATGTACCGAAATATAGTATATTGAATTAATGTACCTGAAAGTCAATACTCAAATGAGAGGTATTAGGTTCGAATCTCGTGGATGGCGAATTCGATACCAAACTAAGTTGTCCATTGTATGGCTTAGCCGAACCTCTCTCACCTTAGTGTAAAATATATCGTTGTACTAAAAAAATAAAAAAAAAATAAAAAAAACTCAAATGTGTGTACCAAAATGTATGTACTGTGACATCCCGTCCCGAGATTATAAAAACGTATGTGTGAATTTACCTTTTTACCCCTAGTTCGTTACATTTACGTTTAGTGTTGGTTGTGTGGTGTGGCATGTGTTGGACCCCACACACACACTCACACACACTGTCTTTCACTCTCCCGTGTTTTCCTCTCCCTCTGTCTCTTTTCTGTCACTTTTCTCTCTCTCTCTCTCCCGAGCTCCCATTTCTTCTTCTTCCTTCTGAAAACGTACGGACAACACACACATCACCCAAACCTTGATGAATCGAAGGAACCAAGGGCATTTTTGGACTCGTGAAGCTCGTACGAGTGCAACCATACCATTTTCAGGTGAGAAATCCTTCGTTTTCATGTCGATTGGAGGTAGTCCGATTTAGGTACTATTCATGCAAACTTAAACTAGCGTGTTTTTGGGATTTTTAAGCTTGTAGATGTCTTAGTGAGGTCCCAAGGAGCCTCGGAATACTTCGTTGGAGAAGTTTGGACGTCGGGATCATTGTGGTCAAAGTTGGCCGGAGCTTTCGAGGCTTTTTCCGGCGAATCCACGGCGAGTTAGGGGTCGAGGCAGGTATGGATGTGTTCGTCTCGTCAATGCCTTCATTTTGATATATCGTACGTCGAAAATGGTTAAGAAATAAAGAAGTTATGACACTTTGAAATTTACCCAGAAATTCCGGCAAAACACCAACTCCGGCGAAACCAGTCCGGCGACGCGAGGAAGAAGACGCGCGCGTGGGCAGCGCGTAGACGGGGCGCGTGGGGGCGCGTGCGTGGTCCGAATTGAGTTCTAAAAATTGTCACGCGTTCGTGACGTCGTGTAGATCACCGTGGTATATTCATACACCCAAATTGAGCAACGTATGAGAAAGTTATTGACGAATGTTTGGTGTATGCGCGTTAAATAACGATAATTTGGTTACTTTTTGTATAGGTGAAAATTATACAGAAGAAGAATGTAACCAATCTAGGGGAGGCTCAGGGACCTACGAGACGTCGATGTGATCTGTGAGTGGGCAGTTTTGTTTTCGTATATATACGTATGCTTGACGTATTTCCCAGAAAACGTATTTTAAAAGAAATACGAATTGAATATCCTGTCATGTATGCATCGTATTTTAATATGTGCATTACCATAATTATGCATACTGTTGCATGGTGCTGAGGAGGCCCAGGTAAGCTACTTTTGATATACATTTGATATACATTTGATATACGTATAAAATACGTTTGGAATACGATTGAAATACGATGGAAATACATATAAACCTATATACGTTTATATTTCCAGAAATTGGTTAGAAAAGGTTATTTGTTTCATGCCATGCACCATATGTTTGTCGTTATGCATCATCACATGTATTAGTAGTGGCATACATATATTTATGCGTATTGGGTGCTGTGGATGCACAGATAAGTGCTAGGTAAAGGTTATTCATATTTACATTCAGCAGTAGTTTGAGATGCTTTGAGAGCTCATAACCTGATCCCCGGTGTTAGTGCTCGCCCTGAGCAGGGCCAGTCCTTCACGTGATGTTCACCTCCCCGCCCTTTATGCTCAGCTTGGATCCAAGCTAGGTGCATAGCCTGTCGTACAGACCACATGAGGTGGTTCCGACTCGTAGGTGACGTGCGATTATTCGCCCAGTCTTACGTGATCGTAGCACTAGAACGTATATATATATACGTAACACCCAGGCATGTCGTACAGACCACATTAGGTGGTTCCGACTCGTGGGCAGGTTCAGTTGTTTAGTTATTGAGATTGAGATTTGAGCTCTAGATTCAGCCGTACAGGTCACTTTAGGTGACTCCGGCTGTCAGATTATATGTTGTTGATATGAGTTATGCCTGAGCATTTACCTTTTATTATGAGATTCCGATGTGAGTATGATTGGCATATCTTGAGCATAATTGGCATACCCTTGAGCTTGATTGACATATTTATACATACGTATATATGTTTATTTTCTGGGAAAGTATACATGTTTTACGGAGAGGGGTTACAAAGTTTTGAGAAGTATTTGGACTTAGAAAAGATTTGTTTTACTGACCCACTCAATTTTGGTTTTGCGCCCCTCCAAGTTCAAGAATTGCAAAGGTGTGGTGACTACGAGGAAATTCAACGGTGTTCTGACAGAATGGACCAAATGAGGACTCACCTTCGGGTGGTTTATCTTAGAAGTTGTATATTTTAAAGTTTCCGAACTGTGTAAATGGTTACGTCACTCTCACGTGACGGCCAGCATGCCCTCCTTCGGGACGGGGTGTGTCATGTACCGAAATGCATGTATATGTTTGTATCGATGAATTAATGTACTTATATGTTTGTATTGATGGATATACCGAAATATTCAAATATATTAATATACCTAAATGAAGAACATACAAAATTGTTATCGGATTATATATTATAAAAAAAAATTAGTTGCCTAAATGTAGACATTAAAATATTATGATAAATGAAATGAAAATTAAATGTAATTAATACATTAAAATAGGAATAAAAAGATAAATAAAACATCAAAATATAACTAATAAATGAGATGATTAAATGTACTAGGACTAAAATTGGATTTTAATCTTACACAAGGTTATAGTCTAAAACTTATCTTTTCTAAGGATTAAAATAAAGTTTTCTATATATTTTATTATTCTCCAATTAAAGTACATAAAAGATTACAAGTATTATTGTATATGTATTTCACGGATGCTGGAATCTATTTGCAATTTAACTAGTATTTACATGGAATTTGCAACAACTTAAACCTTCACGTGCGGACTGCAAGTCAGTGATTGCAAAGATGTGCCGGACCTGGATTATTCATGAAAAATGACGAAAACATGAGCACATCTTGTCCGGCTTTCCATTTATTTTATGGTTTTTGGCATTTTGCTACAAAAAACTAACACACACATATATATATATATATATATATATAAAACCTTTCTCCAATTTTACGAGTCTACGACTTTTCAAGCTTCAACGTACCACAGGCACAAACGCCGAGTCCCTCAAAAATCTTTTCGGACCAAATAACAATCTTGTTTTTGTGGAGTGGAAAAACTTGGTGGGATGGAGGGAGAGGCAGAGATTGATCGGTTGCCAATAGACCTCTTGGCGCATATATTTGTTCTCATAACTTCCTTCACTGATTTGGCCCAGTAAGTTCTTAACTTTTTTTTCCATTTTAATTTTCGTTTTTATTTTCTTCTGTATTTTTGGTTTTTGTTTTCTGGGTGGTTGTTATTTTTTGGTATTAATTTGTGTGGTGGTTGTGAATTTTGTGAAGGGCAAGCGGTGTTTGCCGGAAATGGAAACAGGCGGTGAAGCAGTCTTTGGGGCGGAGGGAGAGTTTGAGCTTTGCAGGTTGGAAGATGGATGATGACTCCACATCTCGTTTGCTTCGCTCTGCTTACAGCCTTAAGGAGCTCGACATGTATAATATTTATACTCTCTCTCTGTTTCTTACTAACTATTTATTTAATTATTTATTTTTAAGAAATTCTGTTAATTTTTAAATGTCAGGGGGATTCTTCCAAACAAAAGTTTCTAAAATTTTACCCTTTGGTGGTATTTTCTATAAATTTTGTTGATTTTTAGAGTTTCAGTGACTAATTAGTTACAAGTTAAAGTTGTATGGAGAAGGTTATGCGCATTGTTTCTTGGATTATTTTGTAGGTTTTAAATTTCTGTGTTTTTGGTTGTAAAATATAGCTCTGCAGCTACTCAGAACTTGGTGTAAGTTTAGAGCTTCCTGATCTAACAAGAACACGAACGGTTTGGTTGAAGTTTACGATTTCTTGCGCAATTTTGAGTGTCATTTATCATGATTAGTCAAATAACTTACCTCCAAGTTTTCGTGTTCGGTACTCAGTAGGTCTGTAACGATTAGGTTGTACTTCAGAAAAGTTCTCCGGGTTAGAAGTGTTCTTATCTGGTGATTCTGTACTTAGTACAGGGTTTACTGTCTAGCAACACAAAAGAAGAAATTGTTAAGGAAAATATCTCTATTATTTAGTCAATATTGTAAATTGATATTGTGGTTATTTCCTTTCCTATTTAGTTTCTGGACAAGCCTTACTTGTAGGCTATAGTTTAGGTTTTCCTTTACCCGTATGGTTGTATAAAAGCTGTAAACCTAGTTGTTCAATATACAAGTATTACAATCCCATTCCGTGATTCTTATGATGGTACCAGAGTGATTGATATCTGGGAAAGTAAACAGTAAACACATAAACAACCCTAGCAAACCCTAGCCATGGGCGATAACACAGACACGAAGTCGAAGTCAACTTTCTCGAGCATGACTTCACATCTAAAGTGGGAGAGTCCTAATCATCCACTTTATCTCCATCATTCAGATCAACCCGGTGCAGTACTTGTGCCGCAGTCATTGGTGGAAGACAATTACAATACATGGATCCAATCCATGACCATGGCCTTAACGGTCAAGAACAAACTAGGGCTTGTTGATGGAACTGTCAAGAAGCCGAGTGAAGATGAACATGAAGAATTGCAGCAATGGAATCGATGCAATAATCTGGTTAAAACATGGCTCTTAGGATCCATGTCAAAAGAAATCTCAAGTAGTGTCATCAACTGCAAGGATGCAAGGCAGATGTGGCTTGATTTACAAGAACGGTTTTCTCATGCAAACATCGTTCAATTGTTTCATGTAGAAAACGAGATCCATGATTGTGTACAAGGCAACATGACGGTAAGTTCATATTTTACCAAACTAAAAGGCTTATGGGACGAGCGCGATGTGTTGTGTTCTATCCCTGCATGTAGCTGCGATACAAAGAAGGAAATCATCTCATATGTTGAGACTCAGAAAACAATGAAATTCCTCATGGGCTTAAGTGATTCCTTTTCCACTGTTCGCAGCAATATCCTCCTTCTTGAGCCTTTACCCACAGTGAACAGAGCCTACTCTCTTGTTCTTCGCCATGAGAAGCAGGCGGAAGTCTCAAGTGGAAAAAATACCTCTCAACCTGACGCAGCAGCATTTGCTGTAAAGACCGGTGGCCGCGAGCTTGAAACTGAGAATGGTGGTCCTCGCTGTGGTAGATGTAGCAAGACAAACCACAGCACCAAAAATTGCCGTGCCCATCTCAAATGCACTTTCTGTGGATGGAAGGGTCATACCTTCGAATATTGCCGCAAACGTAAAGCGGCCGCTGAGACTGAACAAAGCCGCTCGACACCTTTCAAGGGCAATCAAGTTGCCGTGCATGACAAGGAAGATGGGATGCCAAGCTTTCCTTTTTCTCAAGACGATTGTAAGCAGATCCTTGCCATGTTGAACAAAAACCGTTCCTCACTTGCCAATCACGTGGGTAACTCTTCAACTAATGAAGAACTTTCAGGTAAAGCATTTTCTCTCATGCATAATGGCATTAAAAATGTTTGGATCTTGGATAGTGGTGCAACGGACCACGTTGTTTGCAGCCCTCATTATCTCACATCATCAAGGCCAGTTACAAATCACACTGTCCAACTTCCAAATGGCTCTCTTGCCACGGTCACTCACATTGGACAAGTGGTCTTCTCTCCCACACTTGTGCTTGACAATGTTCTGTGTGTTCCATTCTTTACCTTAAATCTGATATCCATTAGCAAACTTGCATATGATTCCCTTTATATTACCATCTTCCTCAAACAGTTTTGTGTCATACAGGACCTACGCTCGGGGAAGATGATTGGGACGGGAATTGAACGGGAGGGCCTCTACTATCTCGACCCATCCAAGAAAGGAACATGCAACACCATTAGCACAACCAACCCACATCTTTGGCACCAACGCCTCGGACATCCATCCAAAACTGCCTCTATGTTATTTCCTTTTAAACCAAGTTTTTGTGATTCAAATAAGTGTGACATTTGTCCCTTAGCCAAGCAAACAAGAGCACCATTTTCCCTGAGTTCCATATCCACTAAATTTTGTTTTGAATTGCTGCATGTTGACATCTGGGGGGGTTATCACGTTCCTTCTATTTCTGGTGCAAAATATTTTTTAACTATCGTTGATGATTACACTAGGAGCACCTGGATTTACCTAATGAAATATAAATCTGATACACAGCAGCTTCTTGTGCAATTTGTTCATTTGGTCGAAACCCAATTTAATGCTAAAGTCAAAATCATTCGTAGTGATAACGGCCCCGAGTTTAAGCTTGCTAGTTTTTATGCTCTGAAAGGTATTGTCCATCAAACCAGCTGCGTTCACACACCACAACAAAATGGTGTTGCTGAACGTAAGCATCGCCATTTATTAAATATTGCCCGAGCTTTACTCTTCCAAGCCAACATGCCACAACGTTTTTGGGGGGACGCCATACTCACTGCTGCCTATCTCATTAACCGCACTCCCACACCCCTTCTCCATGGGAAAACACCCTATGAAATGTTGTTTCAAACAACCCCCAGTTACTCGCACTTACGTGTGTTTGGCTGTTTGTGCTTTGCCTCTACTCACGCCTATAAACCTTCCAAATTTGATCCTCGTTCCCGTCGTTGTGTCTTTCTTGGGTACCCATATGGCCAAAAGGGTTATCGACTTTTCGACCCCCATCTTAACAAAATTTTTGTCTCTCGGGATGTGCTTTTTTTTGAAAATCATTTCCCTTATCATTCTACCACTTCCGCTGCTCAACCACAGTCCACTCTACCCCCACATCCCTTATTACCCATTGCTGTCGATCCCTTTCCTGTCCCACGACCCATACTACCCTCCACATATACACCCACTGAGCCATCCACCTCCCACACACCCACTGAACCATCCTCCGAGCCCTCACCCTCCCCACCTCCTTCTCCTCATTCCCCACCTGTTACACCCCCACCTGCACCATCCCCCGACACCACCATTCTCTATTCCCCCTCCCCAACTCAACCTGTTCTACCCACTCCACCACGCCGTAGCACACGCCCCACCAAACCCTCTTCTTTTTTGCAGGACTTTCATGTCGAGGTTGCTCTCCCGTCCAGACCTGCTCCCGCTTCTTCTACGAACGTGGCTCTTTCCTCGTCAGGTACTTCTCATCCTCTCTCCACTTCTTTGTCCTATGATCGACTCTCTTCTCACCATAAGGCCTACATCACTAATCTTTCTCTCATTCGAGAACCTACGAGCTTTTCCCAGGCTGTCCGTGATTCACATTGGCGTGATGCCATGCACCATGAGCTGGCTGCTCTTCAAGCCAATCATACCTGGACCCTCGTGACTTTGCCGCTGCATAAACGTCCCATTGGTTGTAAATGGGTTTACAAGATCAAACTCAAACCTGATGGCACCGTTGATCGGTACAAAGCCCGCCTTGTTGCCAAAGGTTACAGTCAAATTGAAGGGGTTGATTACCAAGAAACCTTTGCTCCTGTCGCCAAGTTAACCACCGTCCGTGTGCTCCTAAGTGTCGCTGCTGTGCAAGGTTGGCATCTTCATCAGCTGGATGTCAACAATGCTTTCTTAAATGGTGACCTTGACGAGGATGTCTACATGACCTTGCCTCCTGGTTTCGGACGAAAGGGGGAGACTCGAGTATGCAAGTTGAATAAATCCCTCTACGGTTTAAAGCAAGCTTCAAGGCAATGGTTCATTAAGTTATCTCATGCTCTGAAGGCTGCTGGATTTGTTCAATCACGGTCCGACTATTCACTATTCGTCCGAAGTCGTCATGGTAACTTCATTGCTTTACTGGTATATGTTGATGATGTGATATTAGCAGGGAATAATCTGCATGAAATTGAAGAAACCAAGAAGTTCCTCTCTCAGCGTTTCAAGCTCAAAGACTTGGGGCAACTCAAATACTTCTTGGGAATAGAAGTTGCACGATCAAAGCATGGAATTACTATATGCCAACGTAAATATGCTCTCGAAATATTGGAAGATGCTGGGTTTCTAGGCGTTAAGCCTTCTCGGTTCCCTGTGGACCAAAATTTGTCACTCACACAAATGGAAGGAAAGGAGCTGAATGACCCTTCATCGTATAGACGACTTGTGGGCAGGTTAATATACTTGACCATAACAAGGCCTGACTTGGCTTATGCTGTTCACATGCTAAGTCAGTTCATGGAGAAACCTCGACAACCACATCTTGATGCTGCACACAAGGTCCTCAAGTACATTAAACAAGCACCTGGACAAGGGATTTTTCTTCCTTCCACAGGCTCATTGCAATTACAAGCATTTTGTGATGCTGATTGGGCTAGATGTCGAGATACCAGAAGGTCGATAACAGGGTTCTGCATTTTGCTTGGTCACGCACCTATTTCTTGGAAGACTAAGAAACAAACGACAGTATCTCGTTCGAGTGCAGAGGCCGAATACCGTTCCATGGCCACCACATGTTGTGAAATTGTATGGCTGAAGAATATTTTGAAGGACCTAGGAGTGAACCATTCGCAGCCAGTGAAGTTGTTTTGTGACAATCAAGCAGCATTACACATTGCTTCAAATCCTGTTTTTCATGAAAGAACGAAGCACATAGAAATCGATTGTCATCTAGTACGAGAAAAGATTCAAGAAGGAATGGTACGCACGGCTTACATACGGACCAACGATCAACCAGCTGATATTTTCACTAAGCCGTTGAGTTCAACACAGTTCGAAGTTCTCCTTGGCAAGTTGGGTGTTATTAACATACACTCCAACTTGAGGGGGAGTGTTAAGGAAAATATCTCTATTATTTAGTCAATATTGTAAATTGATATTGTGGTTATTTCCTTTCCTATTTAGTTTCTGGACAAGCCTTACTTGTAGGCTATAGTTTAGGTTTTCCTTTACCCGTATGGTTGTATAAAAGCTGTAAACCTAGTTGTTCAATATACAAGTATTACAATCCCATTCCGTGATTCTTATGAGAAATCGTTCTGTTTGTTTGCAGGCTTATTAATAGATAAACTCAGACTTTGCCAATTTCTATGCTTTTTATTTTGCCTTTTCATCAGTTTTGCATCTGATTACTGCAAGTATTCGATTTGGAATAGTCTGGTGTCATGTATAACAGCTTAGTTAAAGGTCCTAGGAGGGATACCTAATACTGTCGTAGTCTCAGCATTTGAATTTCATGATTTAGTTATTTCATACAGCTCATTTCAAGATTTAGTTCTTCCGAGATGTACCAATTTGGTTCTTTCATGGTTTAGTTCTTGATTTATCTTCTTGTTTACTCAGTTCAAGGAGTCGTTGGAGTTGCCAGATAACCGACAGTGGATTGTACAGAATATCTATGGCAAAGTGTATCAGCAACTTAACATCAATATCGCTATGGGGCATCACAGGGATCACAGATAAAGGTGTTGTTCAACTGGTATGTGTACAAGCAAATGTTGCATCTTTGATCTACTGCTTTCATTTACATGAGCTATGGAATAACTTTCTCAGTTCGGCATTCCTTTCCAACAGATATCAAGAGCTAATTCCTTGCACCACCTGAATATCGGTGGCACATTTATCACAGATGACTCGTTATATGCCATTGCTCATAGCTGTCCGCATTTGAAGGTAAGTTGTTCATGGAAACTACGACATGAGTTTTCATTTCCCCAATTTTGTTCGAGTGCATTTCACTTTTGTTTGTTCTATAGATGTATGCTAAACGTGTGTACTCTCTGTTGTGAATTCCAGACTGTCATCCTGTGGAGCTGCCGTCATGTGACCGAGACCGGCCTCTTTGTTCTTGTAAAATATTGCCGCAAGCTTGAATCCATCAATTTGTGGGGGACGAGAGTTCCTGTAGACTGCTTCCTTGCTTTGATCACTATCAGTCCAGCTCTACAGATAAAACCGCGAGGACTGTCGTTAAATGTGGACGCTTCTATGTTGCCCATTGTATAAGCCGCCCATTCACAGTAAGTTCTTTCGACATTTCCGTATATAATTTTCGTTCTACAGCTCAAGGCCCTCGATGGGAGGTTGGTTGAGGTTAAATTGTCAGCTCAATATCCTTGTTCTGTATATAATTCACATGAACTACCACCACCTATATTCTTTTGTGCAAGGTGTGAATAAGGGTTGAAATTCAAAACCCAAAAAGAGATGGGACTAAAAAGTGATTGGCATGATTGTTTAGATCCGACTCCAAGTCAGATAATCAAGTATAGACGAGTGATTTCTGCACATTATTTTTTGAGAAATTGTCTTATAACTAATAGGCAAAGGGGTACGTAAAAAGTAAAAAAATGGATAAATCATTTTCCCCTTGGTGCAAAAGGCCTCATTAGACCAATTTTGTATTGAATTTTTTCACCTTTCAAAGGTAGATTAGGAATTTAGGAATATTATGATGTGGGGCAGAAAACAGAGTATCCAAGGCTAGTCATTTTTCCAACGCTACTCAAATATGAGATAAGAAATCATTTGCAAGCCAAAGGTTAAACTGAATCTGAGTGGTGCATAAAGATAAAGTGGAGAACTAAATCAACCTTCCATTTTTCAAACTACATCTTTCGGAATAACCCTCTGTAAAGGTCTTGAGTCTCTGCAAATAAGAGAATAAAGGAAGACCCAAAGACCAGAAGACCAAAACACCAGATTTTACGCAGGAAAGCGAATAAAACAAGACTTTTAAACTTAAATGTTAGAATACAACAATTAGGAGAACCTAGTATGGGTAATACCAGCACATCTACAAATGCTAAGTCGAACAATCTCCTCTTTATACTACGTACACACCGCTCCCTGACAAAAGACCTGAAAACAGAAAAGAAACGTGTTAGTGCTGGTTACAAAGTGTGAACAAGATGGATGAAACAAAACAAAACAAAAGTGAAGCTAGCTAATTCTGCATAAACTCTTGGACCGGTGGAATCTGTATGAGATCCTGTTTGGTGCCACAGCTACTTCTTTGCATATGATTTTTACCATTTCTACACTATACTTAATTATGAAAACAGCTCAATGCAATGTATGATTGTGAAAAAAGAAACAGCAAATTCCACAATATATGCAAATCGGACCAAAAAAAGATGGACCAAATTTATCTGCAAAATGTTTAATCAACCAAAAGGAGGCATGTCATTCAACCCAAGTGACCTCTTGAAAACCATATGCTTTTATAGGACCGACCAGCCATATTACCAAAGTGAAATGAAGTCGAGATGTGTTATGTGATGTGTACCAAGCTCTTAAGTTAAAAGATGAAACTATAGGATTGTCAAGTCATTCCAATGGCTGAGAACCAGTCATATAAGGAAGAGTACTACATACCTGAACTGATTTCTGGTACATTCTTGGTCCTTCGTGGTAACTATCTACTTCAGATGCCTCTGCAACTCTATAATCCTTGTCCCAATAGAATTATAAAAGATTTTTCTTTACAATCTCGCGTCATTACTCTAGAACCACAGAACCACTCCTTTACCTTCCACTCTACTAGGCAGGGTGTAACGGTTATCACTCTAAACTTTAGTATGACATATTAGAACAACTGCCAGAAGTAACTCACTAATGACCTATCCTAGTATTTAGATGTTGCGGTCATAGCAAAAATCCCATCAACGGAATATAAAACAAGAAGACAATCAAGTGATTTGGAGAATAGAGTATTGAGGCAGATCTTGAAAACTGAACAGAGCCAGTAAAGCTTCCTGCATTGTTGGTCACTGGATTTCTAGTTGGTACAGAAATGTTCTTGCAAGATCCAGAAGGTGCTCCAGCCTGCGAAAATCCAACAGTAGAGTGTTTTACAGTTTTCCTTTCTACGAAAATTGGTGTGTCATCACAAGGGTATAGGTAAAATCAGTAGAAGTACCCTAAAGTTTTAGACAGATCCGGAAATGTTTGAAAATTTGGTGAAACTTTTGGATTATTGTTAAGGTTGGACAAAGTAGGACTCATGGCACCAGCTTTTGACCGCTGATTTGGATCATAAAAAGCAATAAAGAAGTTCATAACTAACAAAAATGAATGTGGAAACAAGTTACACAAACACACCTGGCAGGCACTGACAGTACTACACCCGCAAAGCACTGGGCCATTCATTCTATCAACAGCATCAAACACACCTCCTCCATCACTCCTCTGCATGGATATCATTTTATGCTTAGTTAAAATGCCTAATTGGATGATGTTTAGTATTTGCTTCTTCCCTAGCTAAGATTTCCATACCATATAAAAGTTGACTGCCAAAAAATTTGGCATCACCCCTGCAGCTTTATAACAGGTACCAACCATCTGCTCAAGTGGAGTTGAATGCTCTTTGCAAGCTTCAGCTTCAACTGGATATGTTGGAAAATAATTTTGAAAGAAAAGAGATGCACTTTTTGAATTCAGAGGCTTTGATTCTTTTCTCTTGGGGCATGAGCCCGGTCTTACCCCAGGATCTCCAGCTGAAATCCAGTAAACAACAGGCTATTAACTATAAAATTCAAATATAATTTGAAGCACTACGATATTTCATTTATAAGTACCTTCGTTTTCCACCATGTACTTCCACTGGTAAGCTACTCCTTCCTGTGCTTCCTTTGAAGCGTCAGAGGTAAAAACAAGAAGCCGATGATTCTCTTGCACCATCTCAGTAACTGTGGGCCACTCTTCACCCTTTATTGGCATTTTTGCAGCAGGAAACCAATACTTGTCTAACCCAGCATTGGTAAACAATGTTGTTAAACCTTTTGGAGTTTTCACATAGTCCTCGATAATAATGGTCACAATCTCTGTTGGGTTCTGACTTAGAAATGTTTCCACTTCCTTCAAAGTGTTAATTGCAGGTTGCTGAGAAAAATCCAATGGACACATCATAAACAACCTCGCAAAACTATAACCATTCACATATTAAGTCTTAAAACTGATAAGGTGGAAGAGAGATTACAAATGCAGTGAAGTTGTAACATTGCCCCTTGAAGGAATGGCAAAGCCAGATATCATTCTCGAAATCGTACATATCCAACATCAACCCCCTCACTCCATTCTAAAAACAATATCGCATAAATTAATACACATAACGAATAATTAATGAATAAAAGAAGCAGACAGTTACATTCTAATCTTAGATTCCAAGAAACAAAGTTAAAGAAAGGAATGACATTCCAAACGTATCTGTTCTCAGTGGCTTGATCATTTCGTTTTTTCATTATCAAGAATATACCGAAAATGGCATAGTTAAAAGGTAAGGCACATACCCTCAACTGGTTAGTAACAGTGTCCTCTTGGTTGTAAAATGTGAGTCTCTGAACACCGGCCACGGGAGGCGCATCAACGATGCTGAAAGAATTATGAGTCACCAACCATGTGTACTTGTTGAATGGCAACCCATTAATCTAAAACACCAAGACATTTAAAAAAACAGCATAAACCCATCATCAAATTCACAAAAATCCAAAGTGGGCAGCCATTAATTTCTTGAATTTACCTCAAAATACCACAAACCCATAAAAAAGTTACAAATTTTAAATCGAAAATGCTCACAATTGAAGTGGGAACGATTGCTTGGCCTCTAGTGCACACGGGCTGGTTCCTACCGGAAGCAGGGCAGTTGCCACAGTAAAGACCCGGCCCGCAGTCCGTCGCCGCCGCACAAGCTTCTAAAACCTGTAAAAGATCTACATTTCAGCTCAAATTCCGAGAAAAAAATATGAGATTGTGCAGATCGTTGAGGGAGGGGGAGAGAGAGAGAAACCTGGCAATTGCCGTTGGAGCAAGCAGTGGTGCTGGTGGCCAAGAATGAGAAGAGTAGCAGGAAGAGGAGGCCCGTGGACGGGGCTATGCATAAGCCGCCGTGATCCGCCGAGCACGGTGGCATGGCAGCTTGTGGTTATGCAGAGAGCTCCAAAAATCCACCGCCCAGAGAGAGAGGGAGGGAGGGAGTGAGGGAAATCTCGGAGAGAAAGCAAAAGAGAGAATTTTTACTCTAGAGAGGGGAGAGGGAAGAGGGATACTGACTGTGACAAGTTTTTGTGTCTTAAAACGCGGGCTTTGTCACCTTTCATTTTCTGCTTTTATTTTATGGATTGAAGCGCCTCATTTTGTCCACACATTTTTTACTAATTACATGTCATTTGATCTTAAATCGTCGGATATAATAAACTAAAGAAGAACGATGATTAAAAATGAATCAATCTTCCAACTTAAAAGAAAATTAGCCCTTATATCTTCACTTCAACCGCACATTTGAATCATATTTTCAAACAAGGCATTGACTCTTGAGGGATTGACAACGACGCAATAAACAATATAAATTAATTCAAAACAAGCAACAACCAAAAAAACAATAAGTAACAAGCAACACGCAACAAGCAACAAGCAACAAGAATAGGAAGTAATGAAGTGCGAAGGAAAAAACACCTCTTCTTTGTCCCACACTTACTTTTATCTTTGTCCATCAAATTTAATAAATCGATTAAAAACGAGGAATTGTGAGTGATTATAAACAGCGGGTGTTTACATTTTTATTAAGTTATGTTTTTGGTGGTTTGTCTTGTAAGGGTTTTTGGAATTTTGCCCCCCCAATAAGTTACATTTTAATGCCCCTCACATGGTGGGGTAGGGGGTAGGGGGTAGGGGGTTCGTTCTGCTTCAGTGCTTCTGGCCAGCAACTTCAACTGTAGCCTGTAGGGCAGGGCACTCGGTCTGGCGTCATGCAATTCTGTATGAAGGCTTGTTTGTGGCTCATGCTTTCTAATAAGAAACATACTTCTAACTTCAATAATGTAATGTGGTTAGCTTGGTTTGTTAATGCGTCCTGGTTGTTGTTTCATACAAGTTTTGGGCAGAGCCGGTTTGGCAACGCTATATCTTTCTAAGAATGATACTTTGATTTCAATTAGTTTGTAATTTAGTTGGTTAATAGCGTTTGCACGTGCATTTGAGGTCTCATGTTCAATCCCTTTTTCTCCGTAATTTCAAAGAATTGTAGTGCAAATTGTGCTATGGTTTGTCATTAAGAAAAATAAGGATATTTAATATAATCTAAACTACAAAAAAGAGATTCAAACTCTATTATTAAACGATACTTTCCAAATTATAGAGATAAAAATTCAAAGCTGGGTATATAGGGAAATCATACTCACTCTCAAGTCTCTAACCCCATGTGGTTGTGTTTATGTGTGCTATTTGACATTACTTTTAAAATAAGTAAAATTTTTTGCATATAACCAAATCACTTACTGAATTATAGGGGTGGGCACGGTGCAGTTCGGTGCGGTTCCACCCCTAAACTGGAACCGGAACCGAAATATATTAACGGTTCGATTCGGTGCGGTTCCACTTAAATTTATTACTAGAACATTACGGTTCGGTCTACACCGGTTCCGATTCGGTTCTTGCCGGTTTACGGTTCCTAATATTAAATTATTTGAACACCAAATCATTATGCATTCAAATACATCTTCTAAAACTGATTACATAAAGTTGCATACAACACATCTTTTTTAATGCAAATGTCTTTGGTAGTGGCACCAAGTCAACAAAAAGAGACAACTAAAATACATATGCACTGGTCAATCAGTCAACAAACAAAAAAATGATGAAGCAAATTGCAGGTTTTCAGACTTCAAAGAGCAAGCAAGAAGCAACAGCTCCTGTACACAATTTTTCAACCTATTATACCATGACATGTGTGTGTGTATATAATTTATTTATTTATTATTAATAAAACGGTTCGGTTCGGTTCGGCCGGTTCTTGGTCATTCGAAACCGGAACCGGAACCGGTTTGAACGGTTCGGTTCGGTTTTTCACTCAAAGTTGACTTTTCCGGTCAACACGGTTTTTTTCGGTTTTTTTCTTACGGTTCGATGCGGTTTTGCGGTTTGACGGTTTTTATGCCCACCCCTACTGAATTATATAAAAGTCTTTTTAGAATTCCTTTCGAAATGACAAAAAATGTTTTCTAACTATAAAAAAAGCTTTTGACCGCATTGGACAGAAAAGTAAAAGTACTTGGTCGGAGAAGCACATTTTGGAAAAGCTCGTGCAGGATTATTTCTCAAGAAGCCACTGCCAAGTATTTTATTAAGAAGCACTTAGATTTTCAGTGGAATTTTCAAACATGTTTCTAGTAAAATAAAATTAGCTTTAGGAATAAACATGAATTGTTAGAAAATATTAATCAGTGTCTGTTTTGAGAAGGCAATGGCCTCTCTCTCCAACAAAATGACGAAGAATACATCTCTGTGGTCAATGAGAACGATGCATCTTCTCTAACTCTAAAAGAATGGCCAAAGAAAGAATCGTAAATCTAAAGATTCAAATTAATCTTCGGGTTAAGCAAGCTTCTTTGCACGACCACTTGAAGGAGCACCGTCGTCCTTTTTTGACCCCGATGCCTCGGGCTTCCGAGCCCAAGCGGGAGCTCTGTCCGGCTCATAGCGATAATCATAGAAAAGTTCCTCTCCTGCAGCAATTCGTTCCTTGGCAAATATGCCCACCCTGTGATCTCCGGCGACCATAATGACCTGCCATGGAAGGGTTTACTGTTGAATCCAAAATGTTTTCAAAGGGTAAAAAATAACGAAAAAAGGATGTCAAAAGGGTATATACCTTCGCATAGCAATTTGGATCTGGAGAGTGGTTGGCAAACTTCAGTTTGTCACCCTTCCGATACGCATCAAGGACAAACTGTACAAAACAAATGCTTATTCACGGCAGTATAAGATAAGAGGTTAGATATGACATGGAATTCCAAGGTGTCGATATACATGCCTGATCGTTCAGATTAAAGAGAAATGATGAATTTTCACGGTCATATATTTTTCCACGCTTATCTGCTTCGCGATGTGAGATCAACTCCCCAGTATACTCACCAAGGTATTCATGTTTGGCGACACTATTCTGGAGGGTGGCAAGGAAAATTAGCTAGAAGCATAAGGAGAAACGATCACCAGACATCATAAAAAATTTGGACATACCTTTAAGAAAGCACCCCAGCCAGATACGTCAGACCTTCCAAGTAAGACCTGAACATAAATGAGGATACAAGCAGTCATTACTAGAAGACTTCATATTAGGACGCTAGCTTCCAACAACTTTACCAACTCGTCAAGTAAATTTTTAGCATAAACGCTACCTTTTGACCATGCATCTACAGAAGGAAGGAATAAGAAGAAATGTAACGGTAAAGTGAAGTGTGGTTACCCTTTGTTGTTGTTTCAGAAGAAGCTTCATATTTCTACACTCATAATTGTCACCTCTTTGGCTTGGAACCCCAAGGGTACCATCTCCACAACTGCAAAATGACATTTGACAGCCCCTTACTGTTGAAAGTTGACCAGAGCGAAAAAGCAGCAAACATTTATATTTATACAAGTAAAACACAAACTTCAAACTTATTTTCCCGAAAAACAAAAGGTATGAATACCCTTATTTCTAAGTCAGATAGCACCTACTGCTCCCACCTTCATATATTCCATATACATCAGCCTACAAAAAACTATATTTTCCACACCCTATGTACACTTGTAACATAACATGCAAACGGCTTATTTTGCCAAGCCATTCTGACTTAATAAAATTTCAAGCCATTTCATCATACTACAAATGTCAAAAACTAATTCATACAGTAGAGAATGAGCATTCATCAGGCAATCACCAGATTGTGGAATATACAATCTTTAAGTGATTAATTAAATTTGCAATCACTTAATTGCGACTGCCCGATTGAAAATGTGAAAATGGTGTAGATATACAAACCCATAGCTTAGGCACAGAAAATTAAAATGTGTTACTAATTTAGACAGAAAATGAAAAATGGCTAAGTTGAGTGTGCTCAACTCTAAAAGTTAATATAGGATAAATCCAATCACAATGAAGCCTGAACTGTCTGAAGCACATTGAGAATGCCATACAACGTAGTCCAAACCTGTTACAAAGTGATATGAAAAGATTTTCCACCAAAGAAAAAGAAAACATAGTAACAGTTATGAGCTCACCTAACCCAGCAATTCCGACAAACATCTGGATCGCATTCCCTGTCTGCAGCAAAACAAGGACACTGACGGCTTCGGCATTGACTTTTAGCACAATGACAACCTCTAAATCTATTCTTGCAAGTCTTTGGACACCTAGACAATTAAGTTGTGTTTTGAATTATCATTGGAAAAGCCAAAAAACTCGATGGACATTAACTAAAGAAACAATTAAAATCTATGAACTAATTGGCCAAATTGATGAGGTCAGCTGCAGATCAAGAGAAAATTAAACAAAAGACGTTGAGGTATCCATTCTTTTTCAGAAATATAATTATCAGAAAATAGAAGCTCACCCACAGTACTTCTCGCAACAAGTCCCATTTTGTAGACAAGAACACTGCTTTCCACAAGCTGTTTGGCAAGTACATGGATTATACTGCCTGCAAGGCTGATCTTTTCTCTCAGTAATTCGTTTCCGGATTGAGTGGTAAGCAGCAGATTTCCAAGTATACTTCAAACGACGAACTCTACCCCTTCTACGTAAAAATTTTGATCTCCTTCTTGCTTCATTATTACCCTAAAGTTTGTTTCAATTTAGACAAAATATAATCACTTGTTAGGGCAGGGAGGGTCCTGTCATAACCATATAAGCCTATATAAAATATAAACTATAAATCCATTAAAGTCAACCTTGGAATACCCTTCAACAAGGGAGTTTGCAGCATCACCTGCTTGGCAGGACATCTTACTCTCTGAGTAATTCATATACTGAAAAACCTCCCAACACGTTTTCATACCATTTAAAAGGTTCCTTGCTATTAAGCAGCTGTGATAAGAAACCCATTATAAGATGGAAACAGAAGTAAGTACCTTAAGTAATTAATAAATCTAAAAGGATATCCAGACCTATAGATGCAGTGCAAATCAAGTATTTAAAAGGAAACTCTCTACCACTGGCACAGTTGCACCTCATATTTCAAGAATGGATATTCTTAACCAAATTATAAAAGTACAGAAAAACTTACAAAATACTGTATCCACCTTAGGA